CACCACCTCATGCCATAATCTCTCTCTCTCTCTCTCGGGGCCATCTCCATAGCCACTTCCCTAGAAGGGCTACATTCTTCAACACTATGTTCCCTATCCCTAAACCCCCTTCTTCCTTTGGTTTRKTAACTATYTCCCATCTGATCAAGTGATCCTTTTTCACCTCTCCTGGTTCCCATGGAAAGTCCCTCATTCTCTTCTCCAGTTTCTTAGCCTCCCTTAGAGGGATCCTAAACACAAAAAGAAAGTAGGTTGGAAGGTTGGCAAGTGTAGCCTTAATTAAAGTCAGCCTACCCCCTATTGAAATGTAATTCTTTTTCCAAGCCGCCAAGCACTTATCAAATTTCTCCACAATAGGGGCCCAGAAACTCTCTTGCAATCCTTTCAACTTCCCTATATACATTTTTGATAGTCCAAGGAATGTTTCTATTACATCTTGCCCATGAAATGATTACTTTTGAGTCCCCTTCCACCTCCAACTGTCTAAACCCCAATAGCTTTTTTTTTTTGAGCAATTAAACCCCAATAGCTTTGCCAACCTGAAACCATGTAGTAAAACCATCAATTCATCCTTCACTGAATTAGCCACATTTGAATTTTCTCATCTGAAAATATAAGTACTTAAGATCCTTCTGATCTTTCATGCATTTTCAAGACATTGACTGGTCCTCTGTATTCTTTTGATACAAGTAAACTGAGTTCTATGTGGTACATGAAAGCACCAATGGATCTTCTAATTTTTTAATTGTACCATTTTTTTCTTTTATCCTAGATCCTGTTACAGGTAAAACATTTATTGTTTGTTTTCTAGCTTTTACTTAAATTTGGACTTTTATGTAATAACTAGCTCAATAGGTAAGTAGAAGTAGGTTAGTCCACTACACAACCATAAGTGACCTGGTAGAAAATTGTACATGCCCTAGATGGCTATATAATACTAGCATTCCCCTAGAATTTATGCAACAATTCAATAAGACTGATCATTCTCTATATACATGTATAGCCAAGGTTACCAGAGTATAAAACAAATAAAGCAGAAATAACAAGAACCTGCACAGCAGGGCGAGGCCCATAAACAGAGTGGGATCCTTTAGCCTCCACCACACTGAAGTAAACTTCATCTTTTGATAGTAATAAATGGGCACAATAGCTCTCCACCGGCTCCACGCTACCAAAAATAATCTGTAATTGTGCAAGAAGTTCACTAAAGGAGAAACAGATCCAAATTATTGTCCTTTGAGAAAAATTACCTCAGCAAGTTCTTCTGCTGTCACTGACTTGTTCTTCTCCAGTAGCTCCATCCAAGCATATTCAAGTAATGTTGGGTCCTACATGACAACATCATTGTTAAGAAAAACACAAATTTTGGGGGCTTTCGTTTCTTCCCTTAAAAAAGAATGTAATCAACATACCAAGTTTTTATGAGCTTTTTCAATGAAATCTGATATCTCCGTGTGGTCAAAATTTTCTACACCAGGAACAATGAATGTAATTTGTTGTGGTTTAATTGAGGATGTCACCCCATTCTGTCACATAAAAAGGTGGGTGTATGAAAGTTAGAATATCTTGTAGATATTCGAGTAATTACTCCTCTAAAGCAAAGAATACAATTATACAAAGAATCTAAACACCTAGCAACCTATTCAACAGGCCGCAATATTTGTTTCTACTAGAACCTGATCAGACACCACCCAGTTCTTTTTGCCATCGGGTTTCTGTGCAACTGCCAGTAGTACCCGTTCAGAATCCTTCCGGAATTCCAGAAGTAACCCTTTCTGCAGTACCCGCTTATCGACTTTACCCTCAACAAGCTGCCCGCTGCTTACTAATCCCACTCTGCAAAGTACGTCCATTTGTTAGCTCAACATAACGATGGAAATATGTTGTAATTGTATTGTCAAGAACCACCACCTTTTGTCATTAATATATCGAGCATATTCGTCAGCAAATCTACTCTACATATCAAAATAAAATAAATAATTTTCACAATAAGACGAAAAATTAATTTTTCTAAAAATCAATACGTGATAATTGAGAAGTTAAGTTAACAAGGAACTAATTAAAGACTTGGAGACTAATATATACAGAGAGTACATTATAAACTAATCCAATCTCATGTGTTTAACGGCTATTAACCAAAGTGGAGAGGCGCCTGCCATCGAGAACTTATACAATTAGACTAAGAAAAAGCATCAATTTCAACAGAAATAGCTAAGGGGGAAAAAGGGATAGGAAGAACTTACTTGCTGCTGGCATAAACTCGCTTCCTCGCCCTCAACACTTCGAGCTCTTCCATGACGCTCTCAACGAGACTGTAAACAGAACAGCTGAGAATGCCCCAATAGGGAAGAAGCTTCTCTGGCCGAGAAGCCGGTGCTTGAAACCTTAATTTTGAGACTCCGCGAAATCGAGAGGGAGCGAAATGGGAGAGACGACATGGAAACGAGGAGAAAGGAGGCGAAGAAACAGAGCGAAAGACGGAGCAGCTATTCGCTGCTCGTACAGCCATCGTCATCTTCGAAACTTAAAGACACATAGCTACAGAAACATGGATAAGAGTTAAACTGAAAGAAAATAGAAAGATCAACAAAGGTTCTTCAGAGCTAGATTTCTTATGAGAAATGGTAGAGAAAGTTTGAGAAATTGAGAGCCTGGAATAACGGACTTCTTTGGCTTGTGTGGCCTCGTTGATAAATGGCGATAAAGTTTGTCTGGTTGTAAGGGAGAACAATGTCCATTGAAGTGTACAGAAAGCCTAGAATGCCCACCATTACCGAGTGAGCCTTGTTTTCTCTCTGCAAGAACTGATATCCGGGTCGACTCTACATCGAACCAGTCCGACCCTATTTCTGTTGGTCCGGGTCCAAATCCTTCCACGACATAAATTGGAGATTATAGGCCCGTTTGGGAGGGCTTCCGCTTTAATACAACTGCGTTAATCAAGCTATTTCACCAGAAAGTCGATTTTAAGGCTTCTAAATACCTGTTTATGGCTTTCGGGGTTTTATTAGCCAAAAAAATGACTTTCAGGGTTTTACATTTTATCAAATATAGCTTTACAGTGTTCCAGGTTTTTCAGCTAATAGAATGCCAAAGTTGTTGTATGAAAGCCCTCCCAAACGGGCATTATATTTCCTGCCACTAACAGAAGGCCCAAATGAAATGTAAATACGCCGGTGTTTGATAGTACCAGTTTAACTGACCACTTTTTTCTTTTTTTTTTTTTTTCCTTTTTGGCATTTTTTGAGTTCAGTCTGCCTCATATTTGTTTTATTTTACGATTCTGAGGTGGACTGAAGTCAAATTACTCCTTTTTTAAAGTAAAAACTCAATGAGTCAATTCATTCATCAACTCGATGAAGAATCAGTTACAATGAAAGAAACAAGAAAACCAGGCACAACCGACCAAGTAAAGTATGTGGCAAAATTAAAGAAAGCCCAAATCTAACAACCTCATGGACTGTAACATTGGCATCCCCTGGCCTTGGTAAATGAATTCACATCCGCACTCCACAAATGCACCACAACACATCCCAATCATGTATTAGGAACATGAACATCTCTCATGATAAATAGCAAATCAAGCAAAAAGGTGTAATAGAAGGCCTCTCCAGCAATCAAAGTACGAATCACCAAAGCGGTTTGGGCCAAGGACTAGATTCCTCCATTCACAAGGGGAGTAGTAGAAATCTATAATAGAATGGCCATTATAATGATTCTTTGAGGAAAGAAAGGCACATTGGCAAAGACAAGAATCATTTCTTGCAAGAACCATATATAGTGAAGAAAAATATACCCCTTGAAGTAAACATATCCGCTGTTCCATCAGTCCGCCACCAATGCACAAGCACATCCCGAAGATTTTGAAATTGATGCTTAACGGGTCTGAAATTCAGGCAGGACCCAAACCACGTTGCCTTGGCACCAAGGCTGTAGAGAAGGAGATAATGAAGAGATTGTGTCTCATGATTGCTGCTAACCGGAACTTCTAGGCAGCATGTCATGAGCACATTTCAGAGGTGTCGCCAATTGCATATATCACCAGCCAAGATAGAACTAATAAAAGAACCACTTGGGCGAGAGGCTGCAACGCAAGCCATTTCAGCACCGACCGACGACGTTGTACATCTCCCATCATCCCATGCAGAGTGAAAGTCCAGACTAGCTTGTCCTTGGGATACTGAACCAACCTTTGGGAGTCGGACCTTTGAAATTAATTTCACATCACTATCTTACAATGTCTCTCGAATGATGTCGAGCTTCCAACTCACATTAATAGGATCAATAAAATGAGCAACTTTACCATGTTCTAATCTACAAAAAGTACCATTTGGGTTTAAATTGTTAAATAAGGGCATTCTTGTCCATATACTACACTAATTGTGTGAAAGGGATAAGTGTCTCTTGGAAAGTTTGTAAATGTTATCTGAGCATTTTTAGTAGAGGTCTCTTGGAAAGTTGCAAATGTTATCTCCGCATTTTTAATAGGTGAATTCAAGGGGATGTAGCATTTGACCAGAACTTCAAGTGTGGTATAATTATAAATAATTTCCACTTAAAAAAACAAGTAAGAAAAGATTATAAGCCTTTTTTAGAAGAAATTGGAGCAACGATTAATGAAGTTAGTAATGTATAATTCTTTTTTCCTGTGATTTTAATATAAAAGCATACAGTCATTGAAGGTTTAATCAAAGAATCAAACAATCACACGGGAATGATCGTGGGCTGGGCCTAGGTTTCTTAAAACTCATAAGAAGCAATTGTAAAGCAAAGTCTATAACTTGCTTAGAATCTTTTGTTCTTTCCAAGTCTTTGTGGGACAAAGAAGGTGAATAAGAAGCAATTGTAAAGCAAAGTCTATAACCTGCAAGCTAATAAATTCCCACGCATTTAATTAGAAAAGTTAGCAACTTTTTTCTTAATCAATTAAAAAATGCTATATATGAAAAAAGAAAACACAAGCCCAGCTCAGAAAGAAAGAGTATTTATTCACTGAATATATATACAATAACAATATTGCACATATGAATCATTTACGTGTAAAAGCCTGAAAGAACGAGCCCCAACCTTCTCATAGCCTCTTTAAACCAACTGTATGCATGTGTATGTCAAGAACAAAGTTCAGCACATAGAGTACTGATCTGCGAGTCAGATGGGTTCAAAAGTTGATAAGTTTGGCTTTTCCCGTTGCTTTGGCATGTCAAATTTAGCCGTCCTCCGTTTTGTCTTGACTGCAAATGGGTTTGGCTCAAGTTAGTTCCATGCAGCCAGCAAAAATCAAAAGACATGAACTGAAATCAACTCAAACAAGAATTGTCAAAATTGTTTAGGTCAGATACATAACCTGGTCTACCATTTTATGGTGACAATATGATCTATTCCAGAAATCATCAGACAAAATCATCAAAGCAATCAAGTCTATTACATGGGCGATCAGATCATCTTTTGGACACTCAAAACAATGAAGAAAATATCCCAAAAAGAACCATAAATTTAGAATTGTCCAACTGGGCAAACTTGAACTAGAAGACCTTGTTATGGGTCCACTACCTAGTGGGAGACCCTGCTGAGGACATGAAGGATTGAAGGGAGGTGACCATTTCCACCAGTCCCCATGTAATCTTTCTTATCCTTTGCTTGCTGGAAGGATACACTAATTGGGTACTAAGGTGAAGAAGATGAATCTGAGCACAAGATGGATGGACAGAAATGAATTTACCAACTTAGCAAGGTTTCAGAATTAGTAATTGTAAGAACATGAGGAGAAAAAATGAGTGAAGCATTTGTTACCATGCAGTACATTTGCCCGGACTTGCAGCTCCATTTTGAAGTAGGGACGCATGTCAAATAATGGCACCAGGAACAGTGGTCATTAACATTCATCCCTCGTAAAAGCATAACCAAGCCAACAGTGAAACTGTCAAAAAGTACGGTTGCATTGTATCAAAGAACTGACCATTAAAATAAATATTCTTGTCCTTTAAAATCCTATGCTATTTATACGTAATTTCTAATCTAGCTGTGCACTTATATGGTGATCCTATATCTCTTTTATGCCATAGAAAGGATTGTCAATTAAAGAAGCTTTCAAGATTCTATCATTTTCTCTGGAGGGCTGATGAATCGTATTTGCCTAAGCCATTATTAACAAAATATAGTATGAAAAAGGAAGAGATTTTTTTTTCTTGGCTAAAAAGCAAAAATAAAAAAGTTCAAAAATGATAAAAATATCTCTTTAATATTTTGGTTAAATCTTAAAAAAGTAAAATGCAAAGGCTGTTTATATGTCTCATAAAATTGGCCTTAATTTATCTACCTTTTCATTCATCTATCCTCTTCCCCATCCCAAAAGAAAAAAAGAAAATGTGAAAGCAAGAACTACAAATTGGGGAGTTGTATCAATATCATCCATCTTCTGATGTAATTTTTTAATTAGAATTTTATTCATGCTTCTAAGACAAAATGTTTATGGAAATTATTAAACATAGAATTAAAAAAGTTTGGACAGTTGTATCACTTGTTTTAAGGGGCAAACTTGTCAATTAATACAAATATTATACCTTGCAGAACTTAAGCAAGCTAGTTGTTGAAACAAACTTTAGTCTTGTAAGTAAAGATGTAAAAGTTGAAACTGGAGAGGAAAAACATAATATGTATGAATTAAAATAAATTTGATAATGTTAAACATCTACATTTTAGGGAAGAAATTATAGTTTGCCCCAAAACAAAGATTTCAAATAACTCCCACAAGATTGGGTAATGTAAAATTTCAAAGAAATCATGATGGCACTAAAATGGCATTCAGATGCACTATAACACAAACACATATGACTAAATTTAGAATAACTAAAATAAGCTTCAGAAACTCACCCAACAAATAGAAGGATCAGAGAAAGGATCCACAGTACATACTGATATATCTTATGCTTAGGTTTTATTGAAGGTGCAGAATATTGAGGATTACTTCTTTGGCTAGCCCATCCAAATTGAGGTCGAATCAGGAACACAAATCCAAGAAGAAAACCTGAAGAAAATCCTCCAATATGGGCAAAGTTGTCCACATGTGGGAGGATTCCTACTGCCAAATTGGCTATGATAATGAAGATGAGGGTTAACAATGCCGCAAACTGCACATATGAATTTGAAACTGTTAGATGTTCTAGTGTTACAAAGTAATCGGAGATAACTAAAATTTCTGCAAGTCCTAGTTCCGCTTACACAATTATATAAATACCTTATTTACATATATTGTCCAATTTGTGATGAGTTCTGAAAGCATGCTTCCTAGTAATCCAAAAAGTGCACCAGAAGCACCAACAGAGATGCTGGATTGGATAAACAGAGCTGACAACAAACTCCCACCAAACCCAGAAATCAAATAGAGCAAGCCAATTCGCACTGAAAAGGTATGGTGCAAGAAGAGGGTAAGAATTCAAGCTATACAAGTTTGCATGTTTTTTTTTTTTTTTTGATCAGTTACAAGTTTGCATGTTCATGGACAAGATAATGCAATTTCATAATTTGAGTTGAGCAAAAGAGTGAAAAGCTCAAAAACCTTAAATGGCAAAGAAGCATCATGCTAATGCACCATTGATGGTGAAACTAACCATACAAATATACAATAGGGAACATATTAAACTCTAGAAATCAACATGTGACAAATCAAGATTCTAAATCTGATTAAGCTCCCATGGAATTATTATGCAAATATGGAAGCATTCAAAAGCAAGTATTTTGAATGGCAACTATACTTGGCATGAGTGCAAATAAATAAAAGAAATACAAATATGTGATTTATAGTAACAAAGCAAGAAGAGGTTCTGGATGGATTGCTGGTGTAGGAACAATTTGTTAAAGGATGATTTCCCGGAACTCTTTGCAATTGCAGTTGATAAGGAGGCAAAAGTGGTTGATTCTGTGCAGTTTCAAAATGGGGATCATGTCTGGAGCCCACAATTTAGAAGAGCTTTGAATGATCAGGAGATTGAACCTTTTGGAAGGCCACTCCAGAAGCTGTACAACATGCAAATTGATTTTAACACAGAGGACAGAAGGGTGTGATCAGCAGATAGCAAGAGCCTTTTCACAGTAAAATCCTTTTATAAAAAGTTGGCTCAAGAGGACGAGCAGGATTTCCCTTGCTATGTAATCTGGAGCAAGTATATCCCTTCAAAGGTGGCATTCTTTGTTTGGTCTGCCTATCTGAACAAGATTCTTACAAAAGACAACCTGATTAGGAGGAGAATGGTGATTGACTCGCCTGAATATGTGTTATGTGACAGAGTAGAAGAATCAGGTGACCACCTGTTGCTGCATTGCAGTTTCACCTACAACATTTGGGTGAAAATCTTCAGAATATTTGCCATCAAAAGTTGCTGCCCAGCATCAGTGGAAGCCTTTGTAAAAGGTTAGTGGACCCAAGGTTTGAGTAAGAAAGGGAAATTTCTATGGCAATTGGTCCCAGGAGCAGTTTTCTGGTCAATATGGCAGGAAAGAAACTCAAGGCTTTTTCGAAGCAAAGGCTTCCAAGAGGAGGAAGTGTGGCAGAAAATACTTGGGAAGCTGTTATCCCGGTCATCTGCACAGCTAGCCATAGACAGTGCTTTCCTTAGTTCTCTTCTTTGGTAATGAAAACCTTTTTGTAAACACAAATGGGATAGTGGTCTAATGTATTTTGTATTCTCCCATTTTACAGCCTCTGGTTGTACATGGGTCTTTTTTTTCTTTCTATTCTAATGAATTGATACTTTAAATATAACATAAATCTATTCTAATGAAAAAGCAAGAAGAGATGCAGAGATAAGAGAGAGAAAGAGAAAAAGAGAAGAGAATGAATGGAGAGAATTATTTATATAACACTGCTAAAAAGACAACCATGCACCCTTCAACATATAAATGAATAAATATAACATAAATCTACACTTTACTTCAAGAATGAAAACTTTTCAACACCCCCCACTCAAGCTGAGTACAGATAATAATAATAATAATAATAATAATAATGCCCAGCTTGCTTACATAATGATTAAGTTTGGACTTGAGAACACCCTTAGTGAACATATCGACTAGCTGTCCTTCTGAAGCAATAAATGGAAGACAAACTACTCCAGAGATTACTCTTTCTTGAATGAAATGCCCATCAACCTCAATATGTTAGCTCTGTCATGTAGAATGGGAGTAGTTGCTTCATTATCACAACACTTTTCATACCCCTTAGCTCATGTTTTCAGTGAATCTCTTCACCATAATTTCTAATTCTTTTTTCCATTTTAATAAAACCTTTTGGTCATTACCAAAAAAAAAAAAAAAAAAAAACAATTTGCTACATCCATCTATGTACATGTAAGCAGATTATGCCCACTCAAATAATTTGTTACATCAATTTTTAGGGTACTAATGTATGCATTTGAGTTCTTCCTAAACACATATTAAACAGCCCCAAACTCTAGATTTTGTTTTCAATCACTTCCATAGGGATCCATTAACTCCAAATAAATTTCAACAATCTCCTTCAATTATTAAGAGGCCTGTTGTATAGATAACCTACAGTCAAAATCTTCATGGATGGACAGTGTGAAACTAACTTCAGCACAAAAATAAACAGGGGAAAATAGAGGGTAGTTGGGCTCTCTTGCTAGACACCCCAAAAGCTCCTAAACAAGTATCAATATCTAAATAAATGTTAGAATCAATTGAAATATGCTTAAGCACCACCCTCAATCAGGCTAACACGCTTCAACAAACTCATATTTTCTAATTTCTATCTTTGGTTTTTCTTGATGTTTGGGAAAATATCTATTAATATTTTCTAGGCACCAAAACAGACCAATTTTATCTCCAAAAATACTCTAAAACCAGATAATTTGATCTTAATGAATCAATTTCCTTTATTCCCATAAACATCACTGGTGCTAGTTGGGTATGGATTTCATGAACAGAGAAGAAAAAAAAAAGAACTACTCTGATATCAACTTGTCTTGAATGCAAATAAATAAAATAAATATGAAACTATGATTTGTAGTAACAAAGCAACATGAAGAGATGCAGAGATAATAGAGAAAAAAAAAAAGACAAGAGAAAGAATGGAAATTAAGAAATTATCTTGGGGATCGTATGCAGTCCCCCTTTTGTTTATATAACACTGCTGAAAAGAAAATCATGTCCCTGGCTGTTACATATAAAAGAATGAAGGGTCAAAAAACTTAAACCTCCCCTGATTTTTCACCTAAATACTGAAACATCCCCTCACTTTTTAAATTGGACTTATATCTCCCCTTCAGATTTATAAACCGTTACTTCTAACAGAGAGAAAATGACTAATATACCCCAGGTTAAATTTGGATTAAATTAATTTGTAATTAGTTTAGAGAAAAAACATCATCTTCAACCTTGGAACAACGAAAATTTGACCGCTGAAGGAGCTGCATCTATCCACTAATCAGCCTATCATCCTGCATGTAAATTAATTAAAAATAAGGGTAAATTGCTGAAACCTCCCCTGAAGTTTGGTAATTGCAAACACCTCCCCTGAACTTTCTGATATAGTTGCAAGTAGACCCCTTCTGGTAGAATCTTCTAAAATGAGGCATAAAATGTTCAAAGTACCCATTCAGTTACTTTTGAGAAAATATTTATTTTGCAATTTTTCTCTCCATATGAATCACCACCTCAAACCCTTTCCATCTCTTTTCTGAAATTGATTTATTTTCCAGATTTCACCTTCATATCAATCACTCGAAGGTAAAGTTGCAACTTTAAATTCTCTTTTTCTGTTGTTCATAAAGTTTGTATTTTTTTTCCATAGAAACCAGTTTCAATAGTAGCTTTGTGGGTATTTTGGACATTTTCATGGCTCTTGTTAGAGGATTCCACATAGGGCGTCTATTTGCAACTGTATCAGAAAGTTCAGGGGAGGTTTCAGCAACAGTCAGAAACTTCAGGAGAGGTTTCAGCAATTTACCCAAAAATTTGAAATCAGAAATCTAACTGCAAAAGGGTGTGTTTGACGTTCACATTTGTTTGTGTATATTTACAAAAAAAAATGCTACCAAAAATGGATTTTTTTTATGAGCAAGGCCCTTTGTTCAATGTTGCCTGTTCTCTGTAGGGGGAGGTTTCTGTCCATGCAAGACAACCAAACCAACTAACCAAAGAGAGGTAATAAAGAGCAAATCGGAATTTTCAAAAAATTAAAACCACAAATGTTGTCATGTGCTAACAGACATGTACGGAGAGTTAACAAATGGGAGATTTTTGTCCACTGATGTCATCTAAGAAGGGAGGTCTAAGTCCAATTTGAAAAGTGAGGGGATGTTTCAGTATTTAGGCGAAATATCAGGGGAGGTTTAAGTCTTTAACCCAAGAATAAATATAGAAGACAAATCTACCCTCTACCTCAAGAATATGAACTTCTCAGTAACCACGATATGATGAACCACTAAGATGAGGGTATCCAGTGCAAAACCTTTTCAACATAAACCTTCTATAAACATTAAACTATGTAATTCACAGAACTAGAAAATTTTTAAGAGTTGATATATTATAGTATTAATAATATAATGAAAAGGAAAACTTTAGATACATACCGAATCCAAATTCCTGCTCAAGCCGAATTCCAATAAACAAAAGGCTCAACATATTGGCAAGAATATGGAAAACCCCAGCATGTAGCCAAATGCAAGTAATAAGGCGCCATGCCTGGTGTTCATGGACCACTTTACTCACGTCTAGAGCCCCCATCTTCTGTAGCCTGAAGGAATCAACATACAACAACTGTTTAGATACAACCCCCTTCTTTAGTATATGTTTTAATTATATTAGGAGAATTTCCATTCTTTTGTTTTTAATAAAAAGAATCCAGTTGTTCATAGTTCACAATTTAGGTCTTATGTCAAATGGCAAGTAATTTAACATAGAAACTCCTTCAGAAACAAAAATAGCATAAATTTTTAGTATTTATTACTTAGAGTTACAGATGTCAAATACAGTCACCCAGTCACTACTGGTGAATTTGATTATACTAGAATTGGTTCCTATGAATTCAGATTTCAAAATAAAGCAGTGAGACTTCAAATATCTAATAAATGGAATATGAGAACCAAGAAACTAATAAAAGTATTGTTTGGTGGCATCTAAAGAACAACTAGGATTTAGGGTAGTAGGCCTGAAAAAAAACTTAGGAGTAGGACCAAAGATTCTAGAGTTAAGTCAAAAGGTTTAGGGTTAAAGGTTTTCAGCCATGAACTCAATATCTAATTTAAGAAGACCAGCATCATGGATCATGATAGCAGTCCAGGTAATCAATAATCAGCATATAAACAAGAATCAAGAGATTGGACTGGATCAAGGCAATACAGACATGTTATAAGGGAAATCTGAAAGATGAATAAAGAGATCCATATTTTTTACAGGTGCACATCAAGAACAGCCAGCAGGTTGGCTGGTCCCCAAAGGAGGGATTATGAGAATGGAATACAAAAGAGGACTAGCTACTGCTTGTCAATCGTCGCTGTGCTTGGCACACAAATATTGTATGCCATTCCTTCTAAATAACTTAATAAAATATTTGATTGTTACTGATAAAAAAATAAGAATCAAGATTAGTAATTAATGAAATGAAATTAAAACAGTGCAGAAATTTCAAGAGGAAGTTAAAAGAGACAAATTATAAGAATAACAAGCCTCTTATGGAAGAAGAATCAGATAAATACATTTTTATTGAACCAAAGCTCTTGGAGTCATCACAACCTAGTTTTTTTTTTTTTTGAGAACCGTACCCAAGTTGTATGGAACCTATAGCAAACAAAAGAAGCGCCTGAGCCAAAATATTTATTTAAAACTTTTTAATCCACTTTTGTCATTTTATTTTGCTAAAGAGCCCTATTGACTTTGAAAGCCAATAAATACATAGAAAGATTTCAAACTAACTATTTAGTCCAAAATTCACAACCCTCATTAATAGATTTATTTCCTGAACTTAGACTCTGAATGAATCTCCACACCATAACTACAAATGGAAAGACTTCAAAATAACTAAAACTCTTAACGATAGTTTTGCATGGACACAGACATGGGAGTCAGAATTTGATGCATGTTTAGGAGTATGACTTGGCAAAGTGATAAAATCATAGACAATGAAATTGAAATTTGCTATTAAAAAATTCTTATCTTGTGAATTCTATCATCATATTCCCATACACAATCACAATCTAAAAGTTTGTCCTTATTACCTACAAATAAGAAAAGATTGAATTCATTATGTATATTAGGTGTTCATTTATGCCAAATAAGCAAGGAAAAAGACAAAATCCATATGCATGTATGTCCTTTCTAAAATCCGTGAAGTGCTAGAATCAAACATGTATCCCATATAGAGACTTTGCCTCTTTAAAAGAGTCCATGTAACATACTTAGCTTCTAAAAGTACCCTTTTACCCATTAAATATTTTGCCTGAATTTCAAAAACAAATAAATCTCATGACAAATAGGAGGAATCTAAATATTGAAGTCATACCTTACTGTTTCAAAAAACATAGATAACCTAAAAATGATAATTGTTAATTCCCATCACAAAACCATATATATACAGCTAGCAATGACTCTCAAATCCCAATTGAGCTGCATGATTGTATGCTCACTGAGTAGACCACATATAACAAAATCAAAGGTATTTGGACATAATATTGGCTACTAAAACTTCAGGTAGGTATCTGGAGGAAGACTCGGATGTGATCATTGACTGCTTTAAAATGGGTTATTATGGAGAATGGAGACAGTTCATTAGAAAGGTAAGAGCCTAGACCTTAAGAAGGAACATCTCATTCAGATGGATTCCAAGGTTCATTCATGCTTTGGCCAATAGTATTAAGAAGTAACTGGTGTGTTCTCTGTAAAGCGGCCCAAGACTTGTTTATCCCCTAACTGGTGTGCTCTCTGTAAAGTGGATGGTGAAATTGATTTTCATCTATTGGTAAATTGCCAGTTTGCTAAGTCCATTTGGGTGTGGGCATTATCCCTCTTTGGGGGTAGTTGGAATCCTCCAACAAAATTGCAAAGCCTTTTTCCCCTTCCTTCTTCAGGTGCCGATTGAAAAGGGGAAGAACCATGTGGAGATGTTTGAGGGCTGCGGTATGTTGGGCTTTGTGGGAGGAAAGAAATTCCAGGATCTTCTCTGAAGAAGAGAGGGACAGTGAAGAATTGAGAGAATTGATCCATATAAGGGCTGTACAATGGCTGAAATCTTCAAAGCTGTTTACAGACTTCACAGTGGATGATTTATTGAGGAAGTGGAGTGAGATTGCTAACTGCACCCAGCCCAAAACAATAATGAGTGTGTCTTGGACCCCCCCCCCCACCGGCCAGTTTTTGAAAACTTAACTTTGATGGGAGTAGTTGGGGGAATCCAGGACAATCAGGGATTGGAGGTGTGTTTAGGGATGAGAATGGGCTGGCTTCAGCTCTATTTTCAGGCCCAATTGGAGTGGGTGATTCTCTCAGGGCTGAGATTTTTGCAGTTCTGGAAGGAGTCCAAAGAGCTAAGGAGATGAATATTAGAAAACTCGTCATTGAAGGGGACTCGGAGGAGGTGGTAGGGTGGCTGAACAAAGAAAATAGCAGTTTATGGATGTACAGTAATGAGAGGAGGAAATACCCCCCCATCAGGCCAAGTCATATAGAGATATAGTAGCTTTCCCACAAGCCTCCAAAATACCCCCCCATCAGGTAATAGATCACCTTCTAAAGCAAACAATTTGTGATTCAATAGGAGTAGATGCAGGCTTGGCCCCAAGTTTCCTAGTCTCATGTAGGAAGTCAAGCACACACTTCCTCTGAGAGATAAAGGTACCATCTTTATCTCTTGCTATTTCAATGCCTAAGAAATACTATAGCTTACCAAGCTCTTAAATCTCTCAAGGACACACTTCCTCTCTCAAGGGGCTTTCATTCATAATAAACAGATCCAAGATGGGGTCCTAATAGCTAATGAGTTAATAGACTCAAGGAGAACCAGTGACAGAAGGGTCTTATTTGTAAAATTGATCTTGAGATAGCCTAGGATCACGTGAATTAGGCTTTTTTTATCAATAACAAAAACTTTATTAATGATGTGAAGATTTGTGAAACTTTAGATACAAAAGGGGGAGATAAAATGTCTTAGCTCCCCTTCAACAAATACAATGAAAGAAAATTAAAAGTTAGCCCAAAAGATAGACTCCCTATTCACCCCTTGCTTGGCCAGCCCATCTGCAAATGAGTTAGCAGTCCTCTTCACCCAGCTGTATTGTATCTCATTGTCCCTACACAGCCATAAGAATTTTTTCTTTTCATTGTTATAGCTCCACAAACCACATTCCTCTTTCTTCAACCAACTAATCACCACCTTCGAATCACCTTCCAGGACCAAACGTCTGATATTTAGTTCCCTTGCTCTTTGGATTCCTTCCAGAGCTGCAAAGAAGGATCACGCGAATTAGGCTTTCCTAGATTATATGTTTGCCAGGATGCACTTTGGACAGAAATGGAGAAATTCGATGAAGGTTTATGTTACTACAACCAAGTTCTCAATTCTCTTAAATGGGTCAGCCAAAGTAAAATTTAAAAGCTCCAAGGGTTTGAGGCAAGGTGACCCCCTCTCACCACTCTTATTTTTGATGGTGATGAAAGGTTTAAGCAGGATGACTGCTAAGGTGGTAGAAGGAGGCTTCCTGGAGAGCTTTGCTATCAACAATTTAGGTGTGAGTTTTGCCCTCCTCCAATTTACTGGTGATACACTCCTTTTCTGCAATGCTAAAGCTGAACAAGTGTTACATCTAAGGCACTTGTTAGTATGGTCTGAGGTGGTTTCGGGGCTGAAAGTAAATCTTGCTAAAAGTGAGATGGTGGCAATAGGGGAAGTGGAAAATTTGCATGAATTGGCAAACTTGCTTGGTTGTAAACTAGGTACTCTACCCTCTTAAGTATTTTCGTCTACTATTGAGGACCAAATGCACCTCAAAAAAAACATATGGACCCTAGTGGTGGAGAAGGTGAAGAACAAATTGGCTTCATGGAAAATAAGATACCTTTCAAAAAGGGGCAAGTTGACCTTGATAAAATGTGTTCTAGCCAATATTCCAGTGTACTTTATGTCCCTCATCCCTATACCAGTATAAATAGCTACAAAGATTGAGAAAGCTATGAGAGATTTCTTATGGATTTGTTGGAAGGACTCTCGAAAATATCGTTTGGTGAATTGGAGCAGATTTGTAAACCCTTCAAAGAGGGGGGTTTGGGCATAAGAAAGCTAAAACTCTTTAACATGGCACTCTTGGGCAGGTGTTTTGGAGATTCCAAATGATTTGTGGAGGATCATTATTGTACAGAAATATGGCCTTCACAACAATGGTTGGGGTGCAGCTAATTCTGGTCGCTCTTAATGGTGTGGTGTTTGGAGAAGAATTTATAAAGCTTACCTTCACTTTGTTAAAGGGATCAATCAGAAGGCTGGGGTGGGTGATAGACTGAAGTTTTGAAAAGACTATTGGTGCACAAATTTGCCTCTCGTGGAAGTTTTTCCAGATCTATTTTCACTAGCTTCAGATGAAGAGGTTTCAGTGGCAGCCTTCTATGCTACCCAAGGTGATTTAGTGCCTTAGGTTCCTTCATTTAGAAGGAATTTTAATGATAGGGAGTTCAGAGTTGTAACAGTTTTCCTGGTAAAGCCACATGGAGTGGGATTGCTGCATTGAAAATCAAGCTTTTCTCCTGATT